ATCATGATGATGCGGAACCTGAATCCAGATCTAGGGCTGTGCAACGGAACACGGCTTCGAATTGTGGCCCTCAAGCCACATGTCATCCACGCCACAATCATGACAGGTGAGCGACAAGGGCAACATGTGTTGATTCCCCGCATTGTTTTCATCAGTGACGGAGATATTCGGAGCTTTCCGTTTCATTTGAGACGCAAGCAGTTTCCTGTCCAACCGGCTTTTGCGATGACGATTAACAAGGCGCAAGGCCAAACGGTGCAGTACTTGGGGCTGTATCTTGCTACGCCTTGCTTCTCCCACGGGCAGCTGTACGTTGCGATGTCGCGAGTCACTTCAAGATCAAGATTCAAGGCGCTGGTCGAGTACCCAAAGCTGGAGGAGGAGGATGGGGTCTACGCCCAGAACATTGTCTACAGGCAGATCTTTGGTTCGGAGTAGGAATGTTCAATTTCAAATGCATTTAATACATCACGTTTACATAAATCATGTTTACGCCGGAGCGCAGCGAAGGCGTGACCCAATTTCCCCTGGGACTACAGCCTGCCACCTCCGCCGCGTAGCGGCGGCGAACGGCTAGTCTTACCTCTCTAGTGGAGTGTGGTCTGCGTCCGTCCGTCAGTCCGTCCGTAACGGGCTAGGGTTAATAAAACTCACGCTCATGCGGGCGTTCTACTGGCTGCCGAGCGCAGCGAAGGCGGCGTCGATTCGCTAAAATCAAATTATGTGGTGTACACACTGTATGTGGTCAGCACATCGTACTTAAAATGCACCGCTCAAATTTCTTTTTGCCTTCATTTTCAGCTGCGGTATGCAAGGCCACGCGAAGGGCGCTGCCTGTGTACGCGTTAGTTAGCTGATTTAAAAGGCGCCGATGAGCACACACGTTCTCTATCGTCGTAGGTGCTGTTGATAAAATTTGTAGGCTTCGCTGACTCATACTTCGGCCTCAATCAAAACATTAGTACTTATTGGTTTAAATATGATTTGATTTGCTTCGTAGTAGGTTTGTAATAATTTAACTTACAGTACTGTTTTGCGTAGTACTATTCTTAAGACATTTCATTTTTTTGTTTGCAGTTATTTGTAGTAGTAGTCCACATAATTATTATGTTAACGTTTATAATAAATCACACTTCTACTACTACTATTAATAACTGATACTTTAGGATGTGAAAACTTTAAAATATGACTATTATGACTTCCCACCCGACACCCCCCTGCACCCCCGGGAAAAGTATCATCTTCCTCTGTATTTGCACACGACCTTAAGATATTGTGTGAGCTTTCCAGCACTATATGCTATGTACATTAAACAAAATCGGAACAGCGTTTGTGATTCAGCTAGCGCGGAGGCACGTGACTCAGCAAGAACACGAAACACGAAAGAACACCGACCCACACTATGTAGACGACGAGATAGAAGAGCAACACGAAGCACGTTAGGCCATGGACGACGATAGACTTCTTAGCCGATGCAAACGACGAAGTTTTATGCGTAGCGTGAAAGGCGGAAGTGCACGCAGCTATGAAAAGGACAGAGGGACAAGAATATGACGGGAGCGTACGGACCACGGAAAGGAAC